TTCCATAATCAATCATTGCAGTAATAGTGAAGAATTGTCTTTCCTAGAAGAAAATAATTCGAATAAGTTCAGTAAACGATAATGTAAAACCTCTATAATGTCATTTAACGACACACAACAAATCATTCATCACTCATGTGGGGTAACGGGCTAGAGTAGGTAACTTTCCTTTATTCTTGATTTCTAATAATATGTCGATAATGACATCTGATTCATCCTCTGAAATCTATAGGATCTTCATCGTCAACTACAAACATATAATTTACATATTAATTTGGGTTCAAATATACATAAGATAAGCCTACTAGTCAACATTAAACAAATCACATGCATACATTTTATACTCATTCACCATTACATATATTTAACAGTTATTCGTCCGGATAAAATCAACTTATTAGTACCCAAATATAGTTGATCAAAATGCGTAAGATACTAAGGTTTGCATAGTACATGTACACACTATCCGTGTCACAATGTCTTACCATTAAAAAAACATGTTTGTTGTTATGGTAACCACTTAAACTAACCCATGATAACCCATTACAGAGTACACAATATGGGTGAGCATGATACCCACAATAAGCATGATTACACTTATCATGCACCAAATGAGATCACGGATGTATCCTTTTGTTCCAACTGCATGAACATGTGCTTCATCGTTGATCAAAACACCTTCGTCAACGACATTGTCCATAGGTGCAGGCAGATGGAAAGCCATCATGTTGGGTACATCAACTCCATGCCGAGCAACCCATGACTTGTAAATACCAATTTGTCGTCGAACAAATACTACGTACCAACATTACTTCCTGTTCATATCTACGTACACAAAAAAGGCAACATGTTGTTACTCATAATACATTGGTACACTATTCCACTCAAATGCATATTTGGCCACATGAAATACGTGTCATCTAATTGCTACATTGCAAAAATTAGTTATACATATTACTCATAGAACATATCAAAAACAAATACATAGTCGTACCAATTAGGCCATATATGACATTACATTGGTTACATACACACCAAAAAACATACCAACAATATATACGTCAACATCTTCAAAGTCGTTAGCGACTGTTAATGTACTCCAATTATCTCCACATATAAAGTTACATTCACCTTCAAAAAATTCCACAAATTCTTACAACAGAAGGATTTTAGGTGGTGGCCTTGCCAAACGATATCCATGTATGTTTTTTCAATGTTGTGATGGCTGCCACAACAGTTCTTCAGGATTTTTGGGTGTCGCAGAAGTAGCCCCAAACTCTTGGATATGATATCGCTAACCTCGAAATGGTGTTAAAAATTCATCACCATTTGTATAACCAGCATCAACTAGGTAGTACGTGTCTTTGTTTTATAAGAATATACTTGTTATACATACCAAACACATGTAAATGTGAGCATACTTACAAATTTTATTTTTTACAAAATAAAAAAATATAATATGTTACGTACCACGTGCTACCTTCAACCTATTTGGCCTACTAACCGCGTCACGTAATATCCTAGAATCGATAGCTGACCCTTCCCATCAAGAAACACTTAATTAAATTTATGTTCGGTGCACATACACCCAACACATTGGTTGTTGTACCACTTTTATGTGTTCTATATCTAACTTGATGGACAAGCGGTACTCAGGCAGGAACATACGTGTCATCTAATGCCCCCACATAATCCTACAAAGCCAAGTGAGTAAACAAGTTTAACCAAATTTATTAAAGAAAAAAATCCATGTTAGATGACATAATAATCAATATTGACTTGAATGTTAAATGATCATTACCTTAAACCACTTCCATTTAGTATCTGTACTATTTTCGGGCTCTGGATCTGGTGATTGGAGCAATACCCTACGTAACCTTAACACCACAATAAGGACATTGTTGAAATGTCTACTAACGGTTTCATCTGAGCACAAGAAATTGAACTTAACTGATCTATTTTTGTCGTTATGACCTAAAATACTTAAGAACATCGTCATCATCTCCTCGACACTTTCGTGTCTAACTGGTCTTAACAGCCCCACATCATAGACCAGATTACATAATACCACAAATGTGTGCCTATCCATACTAATTAAGTTGGCTTATACACGTCCTGTCACTCTACCCAATGAGATGATGCAAGTGTTCAATTTGTAACCGAAACCTATTGAAAATTTGTAGAACCTCGGATGTTGTACCATTGTGTTTCATGTCCCATATCATCAACATTATAAATACCACAAGATTAAACACCACTACTATCTCCCGAATAGTCCTATGCATAAATGTAAGTAACAAACATTATTCATCAAAATGGCTATCCATGGTTACCTACTTCAATGGAAGTAGAAAAAATCCAATAACATTATTATCACCCAACATGGATATGTAAACAACAAAAACATATTGCAATGGAAATTGTTTGGGCAACAAACTAATACACAGGAAAATTGTATGCTAATTATGAAAGATGTAAAACTAACCTCCTTCAATGTATAACCAATAAATAAAATAATGTCAAAACATTAGTATACAATCTGCCACAACAGTTTTGAAACTGTCACCAACCTAAAAAGACCAAAAAATAAAAAACAAAGTTAAGTACCTGAAGAGTGTTTGTGAAACCGTTGATTTGAGACACTGTTAAGAACATAACAACTGTATTATAAATACTAAGCATACCACAACAAATAATAAACAAATACAAATAATCCCCATAAGGAGTTTCTGTGTCTCTGTATTTCTGACTCTCTCTCTCTGTTCTTGGGAAAGTAGAATACACAGCTGTAATTACTTGGTTTTAAGATTAATAGACCAAGAAATAAACCTCAAATTCTAGGTAGACATTTCATGAATCCTATCAAAAATTGATTCATATTACTTGAACAAAAATTCGTCAAAACATTGGTAGACAGACAGATTCACCTTCTCAGGAATCCATTACATTGAGTGATCAATTCAGCTGATCAAAAAAAAAAAAGGTAATCAACTCAGCTTCAATTATTCAATTTTGTGTCCTCAAAGGAGTGCCACACAATGCAATTCAAAACAATATTCAATGTTTCTTTTCCCCAATTGTCACAAACACAACACTACTATTGTCTAAAAAATGAGGTATGATTCTTTCTTTGTTTCTCTCTCTGTCTTACTTTCATTCTACCTTTTACACTATCCCAAGCCGTCACCAATTTCGCCATTCACCCACTGTTTGTCCCAAACCCCCCACCATCTACACTCATCCACACACAAATTAGCACCAACTTCTCGTCCTCCCTTCCCTCTCTCCAAACATCTCTCTCACACACACACACTCACTTCCACATATACACCCACACACACTCACTTTCACAAATTCACACACAGACATACACATCTAGAAGGAGGCTATGGTACTGATTTTGTGTAGATTTAGTTTGGTTTAGTGTAGATTAGATTTGATTTTGCATTTAGTTGCAATTTTGGAGGGAGAAAAGAGAAGATGATTTAGGTATAGATCTGAAATCACAAACAGGTTTTGAAGTCATCAATCACCAACCACCCAACACATCCATAGGCCAAAAACACCAAGTCATAACTCAAACACTTATGAACCAACAACCACAAATCAGACTACACCTAAAGTGAAACCTGAAGCAGCAAAGTCGGATAGATTAATCGCAACCACCCACCGCAAACTGCAAGATAAGGCAATTTTTCACCTTGGGTGAAAAGCTGAAAACCAAGTTTGGACTCAAGTTGTTCTTTCGTGTTAAGAATGAGCTTTTACTTCTTCAAATCCTCGTGTCTCTACTGTCTCGCCTTCGATTTACTTTGTCTATTGTTTTGCTAAAAGCTTTGAGATCTAGATGGAGATCGAGTTTTGGCTTAAAGGAGAGGGGTGCCACAAGGATAGAGAGAAAGATATATATATCTATACACAAATGTAGAGAGAGAGAGAGACAACGACAACATGAGATTGAGATATATATATATATATATATATATACAAAGAGAGAGAGAGAGAGAGAGAGAAATACCTTGCAATGGGGGACTAGTGGGCCTCGCTTGCGAAAAGAGGGGACCAATGAGAATAACTGAAGAAGACAAAAAAAGGGAAGGGTAAAAACCCTACATTGGTTATTGTATAATGGTATTATAGTAATTAGAAGCCCAATCCGATAACTAGGCTAGCTAATCCCAAAGTTACCATGAGATATAATAAAGTGGGTCAGATGGGATAAACGAGGGAAAAGACTACGGGCCGAGGAATTGAGCCCAACGTGTATCCCATTTACAAAAGTGGATCCAAACTAAAGATTGTGAGCCACCGGACAAGAAAACCCAATCCAATAAGAGTTATCCCCCTTTATCCCCTTTGCCAAACACACCCATAGGGTAAGACAACGAGACCACCTATCATCCAAAAAAATATAATTTTTGGGGATGTAAGTTAAATTGCAAAGGACATAATCAATCTTAAAAATATTATTTGTGATCATAAAAGTTATAGTTTTTAAAGGTCAAATTATAATTTTATTAAGAAATTACATTTTATTGAAAGAAATCATGGTCAATTATAATATTCTTTATTAATAAGTTCAAATAATTATATTTTATTTTAAAAATTATAAATTAATTTTAAAAATGTTAATTTTAAAATAGTATTACTTTTTTTGGGTACCAAACTATTATTATTATTTTTTTAGTGTATCGTCATTATAGCAAGATAAGTTAATAATTGAGTCGAACTACTCCAAGTCGGCTCAAGTTCGATTTATTTTAAATTTGATTTATCGAACACGACTAAATTGGAACCCGCCAACCTAAGGTGGAGCGGTGGTGCCAACCACTAACCGCTAACCTCAAACACCAAAATATTCATAATGTTGACAGGCGTCACAAAACGTAGCACAAAATGCAAAACACAGAGACGTTGGATGTAGTCTCTCACAGTAACTTTTAACCAAGTAATCTCTTTCTCGTTCTATTCTCTTCACATAAAACATTGAGTTGACAATCATGGCTTCTCGGAGGCTCCTCACCTCTCTCCTCCGATCCACTCATCGTCCTCCCTCTGGACCTCCGTTTCGAAACTCTAGGTCCTTCTTACACTGTCCATCACCAAAGGGTTACATATTCAACCGCATTGTGAACTATGTTACCTCTGCAACAACTCCGTCTCAGCCAGAACCGGTACAACCGGCAAAGCTTCTTATCGATGAGTTTATCGGTGCCGGAGTGATTGGAAAAGTGAGTCAGGTGATTGGAACCGTTGTTGATGTGAGGTTCGAAAAGGGTTTGCCTCCGATATTGACGACTCTGGAGGTTTTGGATCATTCCATTAGGCTTGTGCTTGAGGTGGCTCACCATATGGAGAAGAATATGGTGAGGACCATACCTATGGATGGGATTGAAGGGCTTGTTCGAGGGCAGATAATTCTCAATACTAGATCTCCTACAATTTTAAGAAAAAGTTGTTCCATTTCATGTAGCTTATTGTTTTACTAATTTTGTTCGCTTTGATTTTTTGAGAAATGTTAAATATTTTATGGGTTTAATAGGTTTGAAAGGTGGGGTTTTCACTTATTCTGATGGTTTTGGTATGTATAGGTGTGAGATGTAGGTATTGTGACTAGTCTGATAATGCTAGATTGACAAAATTTTTAGATTAAATTTAGAGTCCAAATGACATGACAACATATTATTTTGAGTTTTTATTAAAACTCAAATGACATAATACCAAATAAATAAGTTCAAATTAGCTGTCATGTCATTTGAGTCTAAAATTTGATCAATGTAGCATTATTGATTATTTTTAATTCTTAATAATTTGTTCTACTTAAATATATTGCGGATGATTTGGTAAACAAAAAATTATAAAAAAAATGAATTAGAAGGATATTATTTTGAAAATTTTGTAGGGTCGATGGTTAATCTAAGGGCTACAGTCATTTTAAAAAGGATCCAATGGCCTGCAAGGCTGCAACAAGATTTATCTTCCAATCTTACAGGATCACTAGAAGATCGGACACGTGGAAGCACCCAAACAAACCTAACTACAATTCCACGACGGCGCATTTTAACGGAACCCAGTCCACCACTTACCTCCACCTTTGGCGGCGGCGCTCTCTAGACTCCACTGCACCCATCTCCAAATATACTCCAAGAACATGCCCATAGCATCACTCTTCCCCCCTCCTCTGTCTCTTACCTCCTCTCATCCCCACCTCTGTTCCCATGCACCTCACCGCACCCAACCACTTCACCACTCGATGACCACCACCGTGCTCCGCCAACTAACCCACCGTCACAACTATCTCCTCCACCACCACCGCCACCGTTGCCGTCGTTTCCTCTCCGTCGCCGCAGCCGCCGTCCGCCAAGATACCACAGTCTGGACCCAAGCCCCTCTCACTTCGATCCACCCCGCCGCCGAGTCCTTATTCCACATCTCCGTCGACGTCTCGGACTCTCCGGAGCTTGCCAACTCCTTCACCACCGCCGGCCAATACCTCCAGCTCCGTGTTCCTACGGACGACGATGTTTCAAAGCCTTCCTTCCTCGCCATCGCTTCTCCGCCGTCTCTGGCCTCGGTCCAAGGTGTGTTTGAATTCTTGGTGAAGAGCTTCGCAGGGTCCACCGCCGAGCTTCTCTGTGGGCTCAACAAAGGGGATGTGGTTGAATTGAGTCAGGCAGTGGGAAAAGGGTTCGATATTGATCAGATTTCTCCGCCAGAGGATTATCAGTCCGTTCTGATTTTCGCAACCGGATCTGGAATTAGGTATTTTTTTAAAAAGAAAAATTATCAAATCGTCAAGTTGTTTCTTTAGTTTGCATTTGAATGTGTTAATTACAATAATTTTGTAGTCATAAGATGATCTCTGTTGTAGAAAATAGAGAAGCTCTCATGCTCTTGGGCATTTACACAGGCACATTGGAAAAACATACAACTATAGAGAAATCCAACATCCAAGTTTATATGTGAAATCCATTCTAAGTTGACTTTGTGGACACCCAGAATGTTGCTTTTTCAGTTCCATTTGAACTAAGAAATCTTTTAAAGTTTAAGGCACTAGTGACTTTGCCATTTCTTTGAGTTCATCACTGCCTTCTTTTATTAGCTGAATCTATTTCTAAGACTCAATTGCCGTTAAGTTCCTCGTTCTTTTTTGGTTAGCTGGGCCTGCTTCCAACTGGATCTTAACAAGTCCCTTGAAGTTGGTTTGGCTGCATCATGTCCAATGTTGGGACTCCAAAATTCAGCTTTTTGAACATGTATTTTGTTTGCTACTCGGAGTGCGAGCTGAACAGCCTCTTTTAGTTTAGTGCCTGTTTGTCCACTTATGAAGAGTTGGCCTGCTATATGCTGTTTGATTTGATGTCATAGAAGTGTTTTTTTAGAAATGCCCAGATACTTGTTTCATCTGAAGTAAGTTACTGTTGCTATTGAGTGCTACGTTTTTGCTAAGGCTCTGATTTGGCCGGATATCTTAGATTATCATTTTCCAGTTTACCTGAAGTTGGTTATTGGCACTTTTGGAACATATACTTGAGAAAGATTTATGTCCTATGATCATTGCTCATGGCTGGGTTGGTGTCTCGAATCTTGCTATAAATTAGAAACTACAAATCCCTTGGGTTTTGGGTTACAGTTTATCCTGTATTTTTTTCCTTATTATGATATAGATTGCTCCCTTGAAGGTCATTACAGACCTAGGTGAGAGAGGAAAAAGAGAAGAAAAGAAAGGGGGGGAGGGGGGGGGGGGGATATTGGATGCTTCGGATAGACCTCATGCAATGAGGGCCCTATAGTAATATCTGTGGTGTGGTCTCCTGGTTAGCTATCACTTGCAAGATTTTACATTTGTGATTGGCCCACTACAAGTTTAATAATCTCTGTCTGAACCCCTAACCAAAAGGACATTTGTTCAGTTTCTTTCTTTATGCATGTCTGATGGATTTTGCCCATATGTTGGTGGAGTAGAATTAGATTCGAGTAATAAAAATTAAATTTTCTTTGAGGTGTGTGACTATATGTAATTGCTCAAATACTTGTATCTTAAAATTCTAAATATTTGTGTTGGCCCCCTCATGGAAGATCATAGTGCCTGTGAGACCATTAACTTATATTTGACAGAGGATATGCCTTTGCTATCATATACTCCAGTTATATAGATTTAGTATAATTTTGCACATATTTAGCTTTTGGCGTGAGCTCATCTCAAATCTCAAACATGGGAGGAGTTGATTGGGTGGAGTTGCTTTGTGAGACACAAGGGAGTGGGAGAGAAGGGTGAATGGTTGTGTTGCTTTGTCTTTGTTTCTTTTGCACCTATGGTATGTGATAGAAGCCAAATTACATGTCCATCATTTCCAAGAATTGAAGCCTTGATAAGAAATTATTATGGCATGTATTTGCAATATGCATGCTTTCTTTGTGTCTTCTCAATGTAATTCCTCTACTTTATCATGTGCAGCCCAATCCGGTCTTTGATAGAGTCAGGATTCAGTGCTGATAAGAGATCTGATGTGAGGCTCTATTATGGTGCAAGGAATCTTGAGAGGATGGCTTATCAGGTTCTGATCAGTGCTTTGCTTGTCAGGGTTCTGTCATTTTTGTTTATATGAAAACATTATATAAAATGAATTTGATCTGTTGATGAGAGTTTATTTCTGAGCTTTTGTTTCTACTTCCTTCTGCAGGATAGATTCAAAGATTGGGAATCTTTGGGAGTTAAAATTGTGCCGGTACTATCTCAGCCAGATGATAATTGGAAAGGTGAACGTGGCTATGTACAGGTACTTAGTGTTTATGCTTATTTGCACTGGCAGGTCTTTTAAGCTGTTCGATATGGCGACACTGCCTCAAATCTGCTTAACATATTCTGACACCATTGCTTTTGCAGGCTGCTTTCTCTAGAGGCAAAAAAATTTATAGCCCTCAGTCCACTGGTGCGGTGCTCTGTGGACAAAAACAAATGGCTGAGGTTTATTTTTTTCCCCTAAACTTATCAAATCTTTTCATCGCTCATACTCTGATGAAAGATATTCTGGTTAATTTTTCAAGTCGTGTCTTTGTTTATAGTTTCTGGTTTCATCGGGAAAGCCTGAAACAGCACCCATCTTGCTATCAACCATCAGAGTTGTGTTCTGATGGTTCTTGGCATGTTTGGCAGGTTATTAAAATGGTCCATGTTTCCTCCCAACTATGTTCTGTTTTTTCTTTTTTGTCTTTGTTGTTTTGTTTTTGTATTCTTTACTGGGCTTGTAGGAGTTGGTTTATTTTATGAGTCTATGCATCAAATGAAGCTCGCCATCCCACTAAAAAGTGGGATTCCTTTGAAAACCGAAGCCCAGAAAGACATTAAGAAATAAATGTGGTCCCATAATCCATCTGACCACTCGCTTCGATTTTAAAAAATTCTTGCATTCCTCTCTGTCCAAATAACCCAAAAAGTGGCAGTGCTAGCATAATTCAACAGAGTCACGCCAATATCAAACAGCTCTAGGCCTTTCAAATATTTGACAAATAAGGATTAGATATGACAGGGGAATCACTGAACTCATACACGCCAAGTTAAACTACTCATACCACAATGACTACAAAGCAGGGCAATGTAAAAAAGAATGATCAGTGCTCTCTTGATCACCTTTATGAAATGAAGCTTTATTCAAATCTGGTTCATCCAGATATTGTTGCTATTGATGTGTGAGATTGGGAACCTGAGGATTCCTTCTATTTCTGGATACATTATATGGGTTTGGATGTCTGAGATTGAGTTATAATCTGTGGGAAAAAGTGTATGCTGTAAGTTGACTGAATGAATGAAAACGTTAGTCATATAAAGATACACATTTATGCTTTTGTTTAACTGCTTTTTATATAAGTAGTTCTTGTAAGAAACTGTCATAAGTTTATGCATAGAATTAGCTTATAGTAGAGGGGGTTGAACCTGATGAATGACTCCAATTATGGGACAAACCCACTGTCTGAATCACACATGCACCATAATTGGTGCATGTGTGAGCTCAGTAAGTAATCATTTACTACTTGTTCATCTTTATCTTCTTATCTCTATCCTCTTCTTTTTTCTTGGACGATATTGCCGCTTGCTTTAATTTCTTGGTATTGCTACTCATTTTTGAAACAATTAGGTGAACCTCTATACAAATAATTCATAATGTTTCTAATTCATTTGTGGAGGAATCGTAATCCTAATTCTTTGCATCACTATCTTGCTGCAAGATTCTTTATCTATTTTTATGTTGCACAGATTGTTTGATACGATCATAAATACTGCAATGGAAAGGAAGTCTAAGTTACATTATAGTCTGGCTGCAAGAAGAACCTAGATTAATATATCTTAATGTTTAGATATTAACAATTGTGAATGCATTCTTGCATTCAGTGAAATGACCATATCTGTGTTTATTCATAATATTTATACTTTGAAGAGGTTAAGCATCATGTTGTCAATATTGAAATCTGGATGACTACTACTTGCAGGAGGTTACTTCCTTTCTTGTAGCCGATGGAGTCTCAAGTGAGAAGATTTTGAAGAACTTCTGACAGCATTCAATAGGTCCATAATGTTGTATCATTGTTGAGGAAAAATTACAAAATTTCATTCTTTCCGAACTGCTGAGCATCACATATCCTCAGCTTTGGAATACGAAATAAAACCAATTTTGCAATTTCTATGTTGGAATTGTCAGTCACAGCAGCTAAATCATACCTCATAGTAACAGTCATTTTTTGAGCATTACACAGTCTCCATGGGAACAGGAGGCTAACATTCTGAACATCGGAGTTGAAGACTTCCATTTCATGTTCATTTCCAACGACGTGAAAAGGGCACAAGCTAGTTATTTAGTCGCACTTTTTCGAGTTAAACTCCGGTAGGAATAATCCATTATCTAATTTCATCTTACATGAAGCGTAAATCTGTCAACTTATGTTGTTTTATGCTATTCTTTTAGTGATAATTACAATGAAATTCCTTCTAGTTTATGATGTTTTCATTGTAGTCATTATTTCTAAAGTTATATTGAATCCTCTAGGATGTAATAACTCGCGACAGATTCTCCTTCTATCAATTTTAGTCAGTGTGAATTGTCAATTTTACCCTCAAGTAAGAAAATCAATATTTAACCCTTGATTACTCTTATTTAGACAATTAAACCTGTCAAGATAGATAATAAAAAATAGTCAATTTACAATTTGCTCGTGTAAACAAAATAGGATTATTAATCTAATCTATCAATTTCAAAAAAAAAAAAAAACAAAAAAATCTACCAATGCCGCAAGTTACTCCTTTATTTACTCTATAATTTTTGCCACGAAATCTGTCCAAATTAATTGAAAGTCGTTTCCAATAAATTTAATGAATTTTGTTTTTATTAATTTATTAGTTAGATTGACAAATTTGAAAATCCAATTAATATAAATATAGTGGTCAAATATTGGTTTTCTCATTTAAGGGTAAAATGGGTAATTCAAGTTATTAAAAAGGGAAGATTTGTTGTAGGTTGTCACATTTAGGGGTTCAGAATAATTTAAAAAATAAAAGAGGTGCAGTGAAAATATCCAAAATAAAAAGGGCGTTGTTGTTGTAATTTACCCATTCTTTATACTATCGTAATATCTAGAATTGTCATGTCTCCTGTCATAGCTTTTACTTTCCAATTAAGTTTTTAATTTCCATTTTAAAAAATGAAATTCCTGAAAGCCGAAGCAACACGGCAGAGATGAATCATCATTGACATGGCTTAGGTCCATTGACTACTAGACAATACACATTCATATCAAATTCATCTCTCTCATTCTCTCTCCATCAAATTCACCGCCAATCACCTCTATGGCCGCTCCTTCGTCAGCGGCGAGCACCGCCAACATCATGCTGGCAATCTACGAGAAGAAAACGGTCTCACTCGACCTCTACCGCCCACTCCGCAACTACATCGTCTACAATTACTCCGAACGCGAGGCTCAAATCCTCGAAGACGACCTAGAAACCCTAAAGCAGTACCGCTCCGATCTCGAAAAGCCCACCGATTCTCTCCCCTCTCGCCGCGATTTGCTCCAAAATTACTACAGAGCCCTTTGCTGCGTTGAGTCTCGATTCCCAATCTCCCCCGACAAAGACCACATCAATACGGTGACGTTTTCGTGGCACGACGCTTTTAAGAATAAATTGAAAGCTTCGCAGCAGAATATTCATTTGGAGAAAGCTGCTGTGTTGTTTAATTTGGGGGCGGTCTATAGTCAGATGGGATTGGGTGTGGAGAGGTCTACAGTGGAGGGGCGGAGGCAGGCAGTGCAGAATTTCGTGGCGGCGGCTGGGGCTTTTGCGTTTCTGAGGGACAATGTGGCGGTGAAGGCGTCGATGGGGAGTTCGACGACGGTGGATGTTTCGGTGGAGTGCGCTGGGATGTTGGAGAGGTTGATGTTGGCTCAGGCTCAGGAGTGTGTGTTTGAGACTACGATCGCGAAAGGGAGTACCCCTGGGGTTTGTGCCAAAATCTCTAGACAGGTTTGTGCGTGAACATTTCCGGAATGTGTTCTCGGTTTGTGGTGCTAGTGATTTTCTCAGAATTATAGTGAAAATTTTAGATTAAAGAAACTTTCATGACTTAGAATGTTTGTCTTTTTTGCTAACTATGACTATTAAGCATCACCATCGTAATTCTGGCAGTTTATAGCTTGAGAATTGCGTCTGTTGGTGTATAATTTCGGAAAATGTGTTGTGGCTTTGTGGCATAAGTGATCATGTGTCCGAATTGGTGTGAAAATTGGGGAACTGTAAAGTAGTTATGTCATAATATGTATGGGTTCTGGGGAAATTTGGTCTTTGAACGTAGCTGTTAGTGAATCCATAAAATTAGTCCAACAAGAACATCTTTGTTAAGCACAATGGTATACTTTTGAAATGATGGAAGTAAGACCTATAGGAGAGAAATTAAGAGAGAATCAACTTAATTGGTTTAAGCATGTGTATAGACGACCTATAAATGCATTAGTGAGGGAGAGTAATGTGATACCTGTCATTAACTTTGAATACAATAGTGAAAAAGGATATGATAGCGTGTAATTATACAGAAGATATGATACTTGATAAAACACGAGGAATAGGATTCAATTAGTTGATCCTAGACATATTGGAGAAGGCTTTGTTGAGTAGAGTTGAGTCAAATAACAAATTTGTTAAGAGGTAACATCCATGAGTTTAGTCAAATGGAAACAAGTATGTTATCGGTGTTTGTTTACATTGTATGGACTATGGAACACAGGGCGACATTACATGAACTAAATGCTATGGGATTAATGATTTGACTGATTATATGCCAAATTATTAGTGGGACATGTGGTGGACTATGGGTTGGGTTTCCAGGCTCATATGCTGCTTGTGTTTTATATAGTGGCACAACTTGAAGTAGTTGTCCTCAGTTGAAATGTTGCAGTTGCTATGGTTATGGTTGTAAGGGACGAATTATGTGAAGTGAATAGGAATTGAAAATTTAGGGGGAATACATACTCTATGGATCGGTTATTCGGTACAACGTAACGTGACCAAAATTGTGAAAAAAATGTGAAGAAAATTTTGTTCTTACTCTTTTACCAGCCATACTGCAAAGTGATTTTTTCATATAATTGTGGTGGAAGATTATAACAGCACATAACTAGCTTAAGAATGTGAACTTATAGCAAGTTATTACTCTTGATACCGAAACAAAGTATGTTTACTTATGTCATTGCCCCTATCAGGCTTTCGCAGAGTTAGTATTGACATTCTTCAGGTCGTAATGACTTTGCAAAAAGGCTAAAACAGGTCATAACATGAGTAACACCATAGTTTTTCACCTGTTGTTTGTTTCTTATAAAAATATAATTATTATTTCACGTACCAAAAAATTATTGCCAAAATATTTGAAAACTAAAATTCTGTCAAAATGGGATACTTAGATAAAGGTGTTATGGTTCAATTGATCCTATCTCACAGTTACTGCAACTCTTATTTTGATATGTTTTGAAATGGACATAATTACAGGCTGGGCTGTACTATGAGGAAGCTTTGGCAGCATTGAATGTTGCGCCTCTCAACCAGCATTTTGACAAAACCTGGCTTTCTCATGTTCAGTTGAAGGCAACCTTGTTTTATGCAGAGGCTTGTTATAGGTACAGTTTAGAGCTACATGAGAAGGAAGAGATTGCCGAGGAAATTGCTCGGTTGAAGAGTGGGGTTAGTGCTTTGTCTGAGGCAAAGAAATCATCTTCAAAGGGGGCCGCTCAGCAGCTTTTGGATGCAATTAATAAGCTAGAGGCCATTGTTAATTGTAATCTTGAGAGGGCTGTGAAGGAAAATGATAGAGTTTACCTTATGAGGGTTCCTCTGGCCAGCTCTTTGCAGCCTCTTCCTGCATTTTCCATGGTTAAGTCCATGCCCATGAATGAGGTTTTGGATGCTAGCAGGGAGAAGATGTTCGCTAGTCTTGTTCCTGACAGCAGTGCAAAGGCTCTTTCCAGGTACACCGAAATGGTTGATGACATCATCAGAACACAAGCTGAGAAATTGCAGCAGGGGAGTGAGCTAGCCCGAGTGAGGCTTAAGGAAATGGATTTGCCTGAATCAATTCTTGCTTTGGAAGGAAATTTCACTTTGCCAACAGCTCTTAAAGAAGATGTGGAGGCAGTGCAGATCAGTGGGGGCCCAGCTGGTTTGGAAGCTGAGCTTCAGCAACTTAAGGATTTAAGGAGGGTAAACCGGGAATTGCTGGTCCAGACTGAGGAGCTCTTGCAGAAAGAAGCAAACGAAGATATGCAGTTTAGAACCCAATTTGGGACACGGTGGACTAGGCCTCAATCCAGTACTTTAACAAAGAACTTGCAAGATAGGCTGAATAGGTTTGCAGCCAATCTGAAGCAAGCTGCAGAAAGTGATGCCCGGATTGAGCGCTCAGTGAGAGATCATTCGGCCCTCATGTCAATCCTGGACCGCCGTCCGGTATGCTCCAGATTATTTCTGTCAATTCTTATCTGGTTTGCTGTGTCCTTGAAACTTTGAAACCAGATTTATGATGCATCTTTTGTATGTCCAAGTTGAACATGTTATGACATTCATGAACAGTATAAGTATTTTTGATAGGAAATTTCTGTTGGTCTTCTGGTGATCATTTTAGGCATGTTGTTAATATGATAATAAGGGGATAAATTATTACCTATAGTTGGTCCTGCTTATATGGGGTGGTGCTTGGAGAACTGACTAGGCATAGAGATCATTTTTAGGTTTGTTTACGTATAGTGACTGCGTTTCACTCAAAGCTCTCACTATCAAACCTTACAGTTGATAGCCTGAGCTTTTATTAGTTTTTGGGCCTTTTGCATTTGTTGATGTGCAAAAAGTTTGGGAGAGATTGATTAAGCATTGACTATGAAAAATTAGTTTTGTTTTATGCCTCCTAGTTCAACAATGGAAGCTATTTATCAATTAAGATGGAAAAGATAGAGAGAAAGCTGAAGATCTTCGTATGACTTTTATAGGCGTGGAGAAACTTATGATGAGCTCCTGATATATTATGAGGGTATGAAAAACAAAGAAGTGATATATGAGAAAAGTATGATGTTATTAATAACATTCAGTGAGGTCCCATCATGTGCGTTTCTGCTGACGATTTTGTGCTAATAGAGATATAGAAGGGATTTTTGGTAAATTAGAAGTTTGGAAGAAGCCCTAGACTCAAAAGGATCTAGGGTAAGTAGGACTTGAGTAAAATAAAATAATTTGGTACAAGTAGAAAAACAAGTTAATAGTGTTGTACATTGAAGGATAGGAGAGACACAACAGTGAATATTGTTTTATTTGGGCTCTGCTATTCAAGGAGAAATCCCACAGCCTACTACTCCTAAAATTAAAAGAGGTTGGGTTGAGTGCATGAAGTACTTCAGATGCATTGCTTGAGAAACATATAGCTTTAAAAGTTAACTAAAACACTATTTTATAAACCAGTTATAACAACAACTACATTGCGTGTTCGGGGTAAAGTTATGTATAAATGTGTCGCCATGCCATTAATTTATGCTATGTGGGACACAATATTGAGCATCTAACAAGCAATATGTTTTTCAAATTAGTGCGGTTTAAATGCAGATGTAGGTATGGATTTGTTCTGGCGAAGGATAAAATTGGAAACAAATACAGACTTGAGATGGCAGGGAGCCGTACCTGTTTATGTTAAATTGAGAGGAAATCGACTAAGATAATTTGGACATGTGCAATAAAAACCAATAACTGCTCCATAGAGGAAGAGTGACTTGATAAGCATTAGTAGTATTGAGGGGGATTGAGCTAGACGGAAACTAATGTGGACTGAGATGGTAAAAAAAGATGTGTCAGCCTATGGTTTAGCAAGAGTTTTGGCTCTTGATAGGGGAAAAAGACTTATGTAGCTGATCCCAACTAGTTGACACGGTTTTATTGAGGTACAATAACCATTTTGATGGGAAATATGCAGTTAAGGGATTTCGTGATGTTCCACTTAATTCTGTTGTTGGTTTGATTGAAACAGTATTCGTTTTTTAGCCTTAAACACTATGGACTAATTTATCATTCTGGTCCTTATCCCAATATTAAATTTTCATTATTTACCCAAAAAAAATATATATTGAATTTTCATGTATCATTACATTTGCATATTGCTCTTTTGTTAGATAGAATCTGCTCTTCCCAGTCTGGCGAGGCCCATAATGTCTTTGGATGCCAATGAAGATGCTATAGTGGGAGCTTTGAAGCTGAGCTTGGTAATTTGATTGTTTGAGGCTTTTAACTGCATGATTAATTTTTGTGAATTCAAAATAGTTGTACAATCGCCAGTCTTCTTTTCTGCTTATATCCTTTTCTTACATGACTCGTATTAGAATCTATGTTGTTATTTTTATTGTTGAAAACCACCTATTCTTTTCAATGATTCTAGAAACTATATCATCTTTGCTATATCATGGTGTTCATAGATCATAAATTGTGTAGAGGACATTGTAATGAAATGAATCCGAAAATGTTGATGCCCTGCACAGATTATTTTCAGAGGGTTTCCCGAGCTTCTGTTAAAATTTTGTGATAGTTTTAATTCCTTATACAGCAACAATTTTTAATTCCTTATACACTAACAATACTAATGCTCTTTTTAGTTTTGCCATTTAGCTTGCCTGTGACGTTTGCTTCCTATGTCTAATTCATTAAATTTATTGGACTGTTTTCATGTAAAGTTGTGCTTTCACATTGTGAAACTTTTGAACTAGGAAGAGCTTAAAAATCGTCTAAAAAATGTTGGTCTTAAATGAAATCCCAATTATTGGTGGACCTAATTAGAAACTAAAAGTGGCAAGCGTGTGGAAATATGGGAACAGGAAATTTTCTGCAGGGGCAGCATGAAATTAACATGACTCATAATGATGTAATGTTAAATGTAAGAAAAATCTAAGCAGGGGCTATGTGAATGGCCGAATTCACCAGGGTGAAGGACCTCAACCTTGATGTAATTATATAAAACATAAAACTTACCAGAAGCAGAGTTAGAATTTCTGTGCGTATGAATTGGTGGCGGTCTTCTTTGTTCTCAGATAGACTGCAAGAATGTTTACGTATGTTGTTCCATTCTCCGAGTTTGAATTCCTTCATTAAACCAGCCGGGATATAGAATGTTATATATGCTCCAAAACTAGAAACACTGATCATTCACATTACGAAGTTCTTGGACTACTGAAGCTATAAATTTCCTGCAAGGAGTTGCTGCTAGACTATTACGCACACATCACTGAGACACTTCCTTGGATAGCTACATGATTAGCAATACCACTTGGGAGTGATTTTAGCAAATTATTATGTGAATTTTAGGAGTATAAACTCATCTATCTAATATTACATTCTCAACTTATAAAAACAAAACAACGATCAAGATTGATTCAATTTTCATCTACTTTGATCCATTGGTACAAAATTCATCCCCAAATTTGTTTTCCTACTCAAAAACATAATTTTCTCTTCACGATTCCAAATCTCTCTCCTCTCTTTAACTTTTCTTTTATTTTCTCTCCGTTCACTTTAATTTTAAATTACATAATTAAAAAATAAAAGTAAAAATAAATTATTATTTAAAATATAAATATCGCATGCTCAATATTCAATTTTTTGTATTATTGAGGCCTCTAGATATGTTTATGTATATAGAGATGTGATGAAACCATATCATTGCCAAATCTTTTCTATATGATGCCTTCAATGGATTGCTGAGTTGAAATGCATGGAAATGAAATGTGTGAATTGTTTAAGTTTTTTAAAATTGGTGAAATAACTATTTTTGATTTATAAGTAGGCAGAAATGTAGAAATTGTAGTTTACATTCTTTGCCCCTTTATCACTATGATTTTTTTGGGAGACTATTAGTATTAGGGGTGCAACTTGGGTTGGGTAACCCGAGCCCAACCCAAAAAAATTAGGGCTCGGACAAGGGTTTTTAATACTTGGGTTAGACTTGGATCAAAAAACTCCAACCCGAATTCAATTTGGGTTGGGCTCGGGTTAAGATCTCGTGAACCCAAGTTCAACCCGAACCAGACAAATTAATAAAAAAATTATATATATATAAAAATCATTAGCACTGGTTTTTAATTTTTGTTCTATCATTCTCTGTCTCTCTCGTTCTCTCAATCGCTCTCGTTAAAAACTTGGTTGAAATTATTGGTTGTTAATTTAGATGAATATTATGTAATTTATGTATTAGGTTTAGAACAACAAGCCTATTTTGGACTCTACCTGAATTAAACCCGAATTAACCGTAAAGTAACCCAAAATCAGTCCAAAATATCAACCCGAGCCCGCTCGAATTAAACTTGGCAGTGCTCGGGTTGAGTTTCCCAACCCGAGGTAGGGTTAGGGTTAGGCTGAAGATTATATACCTAGGGTTAGGCTAGGGATGATTGTCCAACCCGCCCGAGTTGCACCCCTAGTTAGTATTATTGTTAAATGTTTAGATTCATACCATCAACTAGGACCTATTTGCAGAGAGTCTCTTCATTGGTGCTTGATTATCTTTGCAGAGGCATTTGGAGACCCTTGGTGCTCAGCGGGCAGGTCTTGAAGACATGCTTAAAGAGATGAAGAGGAAGGTCTGCATGATTTTATTTTTATCACTATGTAATTGGTAGCTTTATTATTGCATAATATTGAGAACAGACAGACATTCCATAATTTTATCATTCCAGTAATTGCAAGTTTTTTGCTTAGCATTTAGGATGCACTTCATATTGCTATGATATATTTGGCTCAGGATGAT